CCTCCAGAATGGTTAGAGTGGAAGCTTAGGTATTACCTCAAAAACTGCTCTAGGTTGTCTCTTCTGAAAATTTTATTGATTTGCCTCCTTTCAGCAATACATATTTACTAGCCAGACAATATTTATATCAAATATTCATAACCTAAGCTCTCCAAACCCCAAAGAAATCAAAAGAAAACACTGCAAAGAAGCAATACTTATCCTCTAAAATAATTAAATTAGGTCTGATTTGAAATATCTATTTCAAAGTACATGCAATGCCTCGCTGTACCAGGGAGTGCCATCCATCACAACTCTCATCCCAGACCGCTGACTCATTCAAGATCCTTTCCTAGAGGTTCAAAAAAATATCAAGCACTGATGCCAAGTTTTACTCTGTATGCCCTCTATATTTCCTCATAGCAATTTTTTATTATATGAGTAAAAGCGCTAAAAAACTGCATTGTAGGGTACCGTTTTACGAACTAAGAATATTGAAACAAGGCACTGTCCTACGTGTAGATGGCAATTGGAGCATTAAAACTTAGTGCTTGGTAACCTAGAGCTAACTCGTGTTATAAAAGGGAGTACCCAACACAACAGCGGAAGGAATTCTGCTGCAACAACTGCAGAGGGTTTTTTTTCCCCTGCACACAAAGGACACGGGCACATCCGTACCTCGGCGCTATGGCCGAGCTGCACCGTCCCTGAGAGCAGTGCTGGGAGCTGCCCGCTGGACTAAGCACGGCACGGGCCAACCAGTCCTTGGTGCCCGACCAAGATTCGCTCATTTCTTCTCTCGCTACTCGCTGCTAAAAAGAACTCGGTTGATTTTTAATTGACAACCATTACACAAGCAGACCTCGAGCTTCTAGGGCCGCCGGTTGACTCATCTCTCGCACCTTTAAAAATGTAAAAGGGTTTCGGTCTTGCCCTGCGTCTCCCAGACGAGAGCAGGAGACCGCCCGATCCCATTTTATCTGCCCTAAAGGCAATTCTCACCCTTGCACACAACCGCTTTTAACGCTCGGGTTTCCTAGGGAACTTTTAAGGATACCACAGAATGGGTTACCCGGGACGATACCCGTATTAAGGAGCTGGGAAGTGGGATTACCCCTTTGTTTTATTCGCTTTTGCCTTTTCCCACTGGCGTTTTGCGGGTGATGGATGACAGGCCGGCCTCCCCGCCCTGCCCCCCTCGCCCTCCCCCGATGTCTGAGC